ATAGAAATAAGATGGCATGATTTAATCACGAGCAGGAGCGTTCCCGAGCGACAACAATACGATAATTTGACGTCGTAGGAAGATCGAGGGAGAAAGGAAGAAAGAGAAGCTGCGCGCGCCAAGCAAGAGCAAGACCGGCGGCATCGATATATATCACAAAACCGCGCACGTGTAAAAGCCCGTGACATCGTAAACAAAGACGCTCTTCTCGCGTTATTAATAATAACAGGCGATTTCGCCGGTCGCGGCGATCCGTCGTCCTCGTCTTCCTCCGAGCGGCGTTTAAGTTGGCTTCGCGCGACGGGGCCGGAGCGCGGGCGCGTCGTACGAAAACATTCCTCGTCGATTTACTTTCGGGAATCCACACATAAACGTTGACGTATTTAAGGGAGGCAGTAAACCATCTATTTCGGTGTCCCGGAGATGCCGCGGATGGTCGCAACGTCTCCCGGGCCATCGCTCCGCGCGAGAGGCGACCGCGCTGTGCGATGTCGTGGCGTTTTCGGTCTTCGCCATCGCGTCTCTCGGTGTTGTGTGACCTTCGGTTGCCGGAAGCGCCGGGATGTGTTTATGGGACGCTTCTCTCGCCGCGAATTTTCCAAGAGAGACCACAAATCGCGGTCGCCAAGCGCGAGCTTCGGGGCCGGCGAATAAAGTAGATTTACGCGCTGCGAACGCAAGCGTAATTTCATCGCGCGCTCGTATATTCCGCTTCTCAACAACCAATCAATCTCCTCGTCCAACATTATCCTCCGATGACGAAACATCCGAGGGAACCATGAGGAAACACTGACTGATAAAATTCTCGATAATCCCGATGGGACGTGATTATCGTAGGGCGAGTTTAGGCGTAGGAAGCCCTTGGAGAAGCGAAGAACCTTCGTCCAGGAACCTTCCGTCCGCCAGCGTCGACAGCCGAAAATCTAACCGATCGACGGCCCGCGCACCGCCCCGGCAGCACTTGGCCGCAACGTGAACGCTACGAAAACGCGAGACGCGGCCCGTGAAACGCGAGGAATTCGTCACACTCTCGGGCGCGATAAGCGAACCCCGTCGGTCGAGCCTCGCCGACGAGAGTTTCGTTTTATCCGGCGGCATGATGCTCGTCCTCGTCTTACAACGGCTGCCGGTCGTATCGGAATTGCTATCGCTACCAGGAGGAGGCCCCTCGTCGCCGGGCGGATTTGCTGCTTGAACGGCGGTACGACAAGGAGTTATGATATCGGCGCCGATCGCCGCGCCAAGTGAAAACACGGTGGCGTGAGTAATATACAAGCATAGGGCAATCTTTTATAGTGCAGGAGACCCCGAAGGGAATGATCTCCGCGCCGCGGCTACGTCTCGCGGAGATAGGATCGTTCTAACCCCGGCGCGAACGAGAGGAGAGGGTCAAGGAGGAGCGAACGAACCCGGAGCAGTCAGCGGATTCTAGTCGTAAATAAAAGCGCGCCTGCTACCAATGCCAATCTCGCTCGGCCTCGTCGCGCTGCATTCGCCCGTTGTCCGAGGTGGAGGTACTCGCGCGGTGTCTCGGTGCTCGACAAGTCGGATAACTCGCCGCGCTCGCTCGAACGTTTCGCGCGAGAGACATTTCGCGATGGGGAAGGCGCTCCGGCTGAGAGGGCTGCCTTGTCCGACCGTTGTCGTAAATGCGCGTTGTCTCTTCTTGCTTTTGCGGAATCTGAAGGTGCATCCACACCGATCAGATCCACGAATTTTGCGACAGTCGAGCAGAGAGCATACCCTCTTTGATAGGGACATCGGATAGGGAATAGATTTCTCCCTTTTCCCCTACACGCGGAAAATATGATGAGACGAGGCTCAACTGAGCAGCAACTGAGCGTTCGCCGCAGGATTCGCCGAAGCTGAACAATCGCGCCAAATGTTTTCGAACACAGAGACGAGATCTCTCGGTCGAGTCTCGATCTTCCAAGTTCGCTGGAAACTTGGAAACTGTCTCGCGGCCTGCTGAAGGAAACGAGCTCACGTTGGCCAACGGTTTCCAACCGTGTGGTTGCTCGTACTCCGTTAGACACGCGCGCGCGCGCGCGGAGGAGCACGCGGGACGTCCGCAGGAGCGAATGACAGCAGGATCGGCGAGCGAGCGAGCGAGCGAGCGAGCGATCGATCGATCGATCGGCTGACCGGCCAAGAAAGTGGCACGCACGGCACGGCCAGCTGCCATAACCAACGCTAAACTACGTCCGCGTGTTTTCTGGCAGCGCGAAGGCTAATCAGGACCACGGGGTCTGCCATTACCGGCGGGCATTATCGGCGATGGTAGTAGCGCGCGGTATGGTAGCCGCCGCCGTTGCCTCCGGTATCGCGGCGATGCTGGCGGCGACGATGGGTTGGCTCTCTCTCCCTCTCTCTCTCTCTCTCTCTCTTTTCTCTCTCTCTCGAGTCTCTCTCTCGAAGCTTCCTTCTCTCTTCCTCGCGGAAGACTCGGTCTCTTTGGCAACCCTCGGCGGGAAGGAATACCGGACGCGACGTGGTGGAGACCGTATGCGTACCGACACCGCCGATTAGACTGGCAGGACGCCTGCGATTTGAATGATTAGATAGAGGGTCGACGATTCGGAGATCTCGCCGGTGGTCAAATAACAGCCTCCGGGCGGGAGAACGGCCGCGTTCGTGACCGGTAGGCACGCATATCCTCCCGGCGGCGGCGGGTCGATAGTTCGCCGCCCGCTCGGCCGAAGAAGAGAGTCCGTGGTGCGGGATGCACGCGTATAAGTACACGTGTCTGATTGAACGACCTAGCCGGTCGTTCTCCAACCTTATCCTCCCTCCTCTTCTTCCTCTCTTCCCCCTACCCGTCGTTGCCGCTCCTCGACAGGTGCGTCGGCCGGGGGATTAATGCCCCGATCGTCCCGAGGATCAAAAAAGCTCTTAAGGCGAGCTAACCGCGCGCCGTATACGGTAATTTCGTGGATACGGCTCGATTCCCTATCCGCTTTTAATCGTAAGCGCGAGAAGGCGAACGTGTTTATGGGAGTGGAGAATAATTTCAGGAGGCGGAGAACGCGCTCGTTCGCCTCTCCCGTCGAGGAAGCCGAGCTGAGCTGAGCCGAGCCGAGCCGAGCCGAGCCGAGTCGGCCGGACGGACCGACGCGAGTAAATGTTTGCGTACCGTGTCCGCGGATAGATCGGAATTCAAGCGATAACGGAACACACTTCCGTCTCAGGGAAGGAATCTCCGCGCGAACGCCGCATGGATTTCTGTGACTTGACGAAAAGGTGGCGGCTACTCGTACGCGCTTGCCAACGCTTCGTTTTATTTATTTGACGAAATGGTTCTTGTAAAGATTACAAAACGCTCGTTGCTCGCGCGCTCCACGCTGGCGTCATTTGATCATTCCCGCAATTTTGATCCACAGTCGAAAACACCCTGTATATCTCGCAGATACCAGTTTTCTTAGGTTTCCCGCAGAAATCTGAAAAATCACACGTATTTGCGATCTTAGCGATTTCGGTCGCTTTCACGTTGCTTTCCATACGTCGCCGAGGACAACGTCGAGGGAAGAGCTATTCTGTGCGTACACCTGCTGTCCGACGGCTGTCGACTTGGTGAGTGTCGTTATATGCAGGTGTAATCACCCGACTAGAAATTTTGATCAGGTAATCACCTAATATTGATAAGGACCTAATAGGATGGATGAAAGGTAATTCTAAGTAAGTCAGTCCTTATAATGTCCTAACGACAAATGAGTAAGGAGGACCTTTGTAAGGTTATAATGATTGGGTCCACATCAGGACCTTAGTGTGCCAACCTAGTGTGTATGATACGTATAATATGGTTCAGTTAATCGGGTCCTTGTCGGGATCTTATTTATTGTTACCTAATATGATTTGCATTATCAAGTTTTAACAAAACAATTTTTCGGTGTCTTTTCCAAATATAAAGATGTTTGCATGGAAAAAACACTTCGGATCACTTGAATATATTTGTAAAATGTTATAGAAACTATCCTTTTTTTAGCAGTCAATAGATAGTTGTAAAATTAACGTGACATGCAACTTTTCTCTTTAACACTACCTTATGTCTTGTCGCCTTCTGACTTACTTTATGATCTTATGATATTCATTTTATGTTTCTTTTCCGAAACATTTTACAAGTATGCTCAAGCGATCTCAAATATTATTTCATGCAAATATCTTTTTATTTGGAAATGACACGAAAGAATTCTCAGCGTGTTTTCTTATTTCTTATTTCTAATGTCATCATCCAATATAGCCGTGGCGAGTAATCAGGAGTCACAATTTGAAAAAGAAAAAACGTAACAAGGATTCCATAAGGTAATTCAATAAGGACCTGACTGTGAATCCTCACTAAGATCCTGATATCCACGCAGCGTTACATGACCCTTACTAGGACCCGATAGTATTACCTTATGTCCAAACGAAGTTAATCCGATCAGGACCATGGGATAAATTTCTAGTCGGGCATATCATAAAATAACCACGCAGCATCGAGCCGACAGTGATCGACGAACGTGTAGAGTCGGCTGCCCAGAAGTCGTGACTTTTCCCCCGACGCATCCTGTCCGCATCCGATAGAAAAAAATGTGCTTCTCGCTCCTTCTTAAGGCATTCACACTCTCCTATCGGATACGGACTCGGAGCTGCGAAACTCATCGAAGAGGAGCACCGCAGTGTCTCCGATCAGAGGCGACCGTGTGGAAAGCCCGTCGGCGAACAGAAACTGTACACCGAACGGCGGACCGTCGCGAGGGAGGTGTCAGAAAGCTACGTATTCGCGCTCGTTAGGCTCGCGCACGGCGCGTTTGAGCGTCAACAACGGGAGCGGACGGAAACGCTACGCAATCTGGGATTAAAGTTCGCGGAACCTTCGCTCGTTACGTCGCGCGGCCAACGAGCCCGTCCTAATTAACCGAGAGAACTGAATTATGCAAAGGCGCTGTGCGCTAGCTCGCTCGCTCGCTCGGGGTGAACGCTCACCGGAAGTTACGTCGCGAATTCGCAGCGCAGCGGAGCCTCTACTGATGATACGCGCGCAACGACGCGTTGTCGCCTCGCTCCGCCTCGCTCGTTTCCCCGCCGGCGGTCGCCGCACCGGCGACCACGGCGTCGCCGAGCCTCGAGAACGCCTCCGTCCATCTTCGCAGGCCGAGCGCGTCCGCGGCGTCGCAATCAGGCGCCACCACCCGCTGGTCGCGCGACGCCGCGCGGAATCCGCTCGCGAGTCCCACGTTTTTTGCGTCCGTCGCGCCGTCGCCGCTTCCCGAAGTCTCCGTTATCGTTCCATCGCCGTGAGAACCGTACGACCGTCCGGCGCCGTTGGCATACGCGTCGTTAGCGTTCCTCGGGGTTACCCGGTCGAACGGGGGGTCGGGGACGAGGGTCGGGGAAGAGGCCTGCCGCTTGAGCGGCTTGTACAGCCGACTCCTGGACTGAGCCAGCATTCTCCACCTGTCCAGGTTCTCCTTGCTGTACGGATAGGGATCGCCGTGCAGCCGCACGTAGTCGCCGTCGGTGACGTACTGGCCGCCGCCGAGGTCGTCGCCAGTTGAGTCCTCCGTGTTAGAGTCGCGGACGGTATTTTTAGCGCTCACAGCCAGCATAGACGCCGCCGCCGCCGCGGCCTCGGGCGATTTCGTCGGGTCGTCGTCGATGGTCGTGACGTCGTAGTCCGCGGACGAAGAGTCTCTGGTCTCGTCGGACGAGTCCATGCGATTGTCCTTGGAGCGAGAGTCTTTGTGGCTTCCCCGTTCATGTAGCTCCGTTTCATCGCGAACGCTCTCTTCCTCGGCGCGTGACCTCTCGTCCTCCAAGTCCTTCAAGTTCGTAGAGTCCGATGCGCCCTCAGCGTCTTGCCGATCGCCATCCTGAGGTTGGCTCGTGGACGTTTCTACTTCCTCGTCCTCGACAGTGCTCGGCAGCTCGATCACGTCGATCCCGACATCCGGTTGCTCCCGGTCGCTGCTCGATGTCTGCGATTCTGCGGGTGAGAGAATTTGCTCGGTGCTTTTTATCGAGTCACTCGTATCACGGCTAGTCGGCTTCTCGTCGTCGAGATTCTTCAAGTCGCTCTGTCGATCATGTTGCTCTTCCTGCCGATTCAACAGCTTGTCACTCATCTTCTCCTCGGGACCCTCGGAACTCGCAGGGGAGGCCGTTGCGATTCCCGGATTCTTCGTTCGCGCAGTCCCGTCGACGGCAATAGAGTCCGCCGGCGGAAGCGACCCGACGCGTCTCCAGGTGGCGTCGTCGTTCGTCCTCGCATCCAGAAGCGTACGGTGAACCTGCGCGCTCGCGGTATGCAGCTTCTTGCTAAGCGGGTACTGGTCCTGATTCGGCGCGTCCGCGTGGCCCATGCGCTTGAGGCCCATGGAGCTTAGCTTGTACCCGGCGGTTTGCTCATCCTTGACCTCCGTGGTCTCGTCGGCGGACGACCTGACGACCCGCACGTCCAATTTCGGCTGCGGCGCTTCCGGCCGGATGGACCTCGTCTCCAGTCTCTGCGGCCGCGCGTTCGACAGGATGGCTCGCATGGCTGACCTCGATTTCACCGCGAGACTCCGCCAAGCGTCGATCTCGACGTCCTGCGCCGCCTGCTCCTCCGGCGGCACGTTGTAACCGTCACCGAGCGCGACCGATGAGCCGCCCGGCGACTCTTTCATGATGCTCCGGAGGGCCCGCGAGCTCGTCGGCGAACTCGTCGCGTCGGCCGCTTCTCGCTGCGCCATGTGGAAGTCACCGCTCGGCGAGTCGCGCTTGAACCAAGTCGAGAGACCCTCGTCGTCCTTGGCTCCTCTCGAGCTCGACTGCTCGTCTCGCCGCTTCGCCGAGGCTCCCTTCGGGGAAAGCTGACCTTCGGCTCCGCCAGCCTGCGCCGCGGTATCATCGTTCCCCGAGAACCGAGAGGCGTTTCGCCGCTGGTACGCGCCACTCCCGGCACCCTCGGACATCAGCGGCGCGGCGGCACCTTCGACATCCGGCTTCGGGTGCGTCAGGTACACTCCCCAAAGCCGCTTCGTGACGTATCGCCGGCCCTTTTCGGCCAAGTTATCGTTATCGCTCGCCTCGGCCGCGGCCGCGGCCGCGGCCGGCTCCTCCTCGGCGAGTTTCACGCCCCACTCGTAACGAAACGCCGCCGCCGCCGCTGCGTCGGGGTCGCCGGGCGGGTTATCTCCCGCTGCTATCGCCGCTCGGCTCTCGCTACTATCGACGGATTCGCGCTCCGTACGTATTACCGGCTCCTTCTTCTCCCCCTTGTCCTTCTTCTTCTTCTTCTCGTCCTTCTTCTCGCGCTTTTCGGGCATGCCGGGCTCCCTGATGGGCGGCCTCGAATCCCGGCCAGCGAAGGCCGCGATCGCGCGCGTCGCCACCACGCTGATGTTTCTATCCGGCCCGTACGCGACCAGCAGGAGAGGCGGCTGTCGCGTCCGCGGTGGCGGTGGCAGGCGATAACAGTGTCTCGGGCTTGTGTAACAACGTATATAATGTGCCTCCCTCGCCGCGAACTCGATCGAGCCGCGACCGATGCTGCTTCTCTCCGCTCGATGAATCTCGCCGGCGAGAGCGAGCCGCGGAGAGAAGGACGATCCGGCCGGGTCTCTTCCGCGTCCGAGAGTCCCCACGGTAGTCCTGCCGTCCGTCGGCGGCCGCGACGACTCGGCATAAATCGCCAACTGTTGAATCGTCGTGCTCGTGCGCTCGCCGCTGCGGAACTTCCTATCGCCGAATTTGCTCGTCGATCCTGCCGCGCCCGAGTTGGCCAAGTTTGGATGGACGACGTCGACCTTGCGCGAGGGGTCCGCTACTTCGAGGCGATCGCGCGGCAACGCGACTTCCTCGTGGCTTCCTCTGTCCTCTGCAACGTGTTATTTCGGCGATAATTCACATCGCCGCCGGCCGATGGCCGATGGGGGCTACGCCATAGGAGATTCGCGATGTCTTAAAGTAACGTCACCGTTCGACCCGCCCGCGACTTTGTTGAAGATGCTCTTCAGCCAGCCGAGGAACCCCTCTCGCTCGCAAATCGCCGCCGTCTTCCCGTCGCCACGCAAGACGGACGCTGCGCTAACGGGAACGCGTCGCGTTAAGAAGCGTCATCATCGTCGTTCGCAAATGTATCCCGCGTATTCGGGATGTTTCGCGGGATCGCGCACAACGGTATCGCTGACTTTTTTTTGACGACTGACCGATGGACAAGTTCCTGCTGCGGGATTTGGGGTGGAGCAGCCCTCGCAGGATATCGGCCGAGTCACGTTGTTGTCGCAGCATCGTATCCGGAGGGCTCGCGGAGGAGAACGGTTACTCGTGTAGGTTAATACTGGTATTGTATTTTGATGGATCTTTGCCGAACCTCGTTGACCGAATCCCCTCGTCGAAAGGGATGTTATTCGCAAACTCGTCAGGCCGTCTTTTAGGCCGGACTCGCTTGCCCGCTTTCTTACGCGCTACGCGTGCGCGCGGTCGGGCTTCATTTGTCTCTGAACGAAAAATGTGAGTGGCCGCGACGATGCCCGGAGTCGTTAGCGCGAGTTTTCACGAAATCGCCAACATGAAGTGAGCAACTGGTGAAATAGCTTTCAGCAGTTGCCTAACCTGTTGAGTCTTCAGTCTTCAGTCTTCAGAGAATTTATTAGATCGGATTTTTTTATTCAATTTGTTGCATTGTGCGGAAAATAATTATTTATCGACCAAGTTGTATCGACCACTGCCCACAAGCGTCTTACATCGAAGTGGATAGAGAAAATCGAGCCGAATCTCATATTTTTCGCTGGCGAGAGATTCGCCGCAGAATCGTTCGGAAAAGTGACACGACGCATCTCACGGCCGCGAGAACGATCTCGTAGCGTCGTACGCGACGGGTCTTAATTATTCTTAACAAATCTACCGGGGCGAGTTTTGTCGACTCATCAAAGTCACGAAACGACTTCGGTTAATCATTGGCAAAAGTTTTTCTCCCGCGGGAGCCGAGACCCTCCGCGGCACGCTGTTAATGCCATAATGGATCCAGAGATGAGCGGGAAGGTCGCGCGCGTCGATGTTACTTTTCTGGTGGTCACGCAGACCAGCACGGAGAGCGAACATCGTCCACTCCTACGTGATTATCTTTTCATTCGCTGATTACTCCTACATGTCCGCTCCAATTGTCAATCAAATTTATTAAAAAACAATGACATGAAAACGATAAAGAATGGCAGAGAGAAAATCGACACGTTTTGTCTCGACACGAAATGTTCTCTAAAAAAGCAAAGGAAATTCAGCTTTATCGCGCACGCGAGTAATTCCGATCGGAGGAGGGAAAGGACGATAGCTCCTTCTTCGGGCTGGGATATCGCGGGTAAAGGATATCGAGGTGGGCTGTCGCGTGAGAATGGCCATGGCCATTCGGGCCACGTATCCTGATAACCGTTAATAAAAGCTTAAAGGACATTATCGTAAGCATTCGTCGGGACATTAAAAAGCGCACGTGCCCTTAACGGTAGGCCCTCGATGCAATTTTAAACAGCCATTTCCGACCCTCACTACCAATCGTCTCTGGCTGACACATGTCCCCGATGCTGTTACATGAATCCAAGGGATCCGCCGGTCTGAATACCAATCGTCCGCCACAATGCAAGCAGAGCGACGGCGTCGAGGGTGAAGGGTGAACATCTGCTTTGATACGCTGTCCTACGCGCGATCAAAACGCGGACACTCGGCCCGATACCGAAGCGATCTCGATTAAACAAATCGCTCGACTTGCAAATCATAGAAAATCATTGCAAAATATTCTCTCTCTCTCTCTCTCTCTCTCTCTCTTCTCGCACCCTTCCATTAAGTGTTTCATTAGTCACTTTAATCAGTTTTACCAGCGCGCATTTCTCTTTTCGACAAAGTGAAAAATTATGAAAAACTGGGTCATCTGGGCTTAGAACGTTAAAATTCAACAATATCATTTAGCTGCGTAAGTTCCCGAAAAGAAAGAAAGAAAAAAAGAAAAACTATTAAAATCTCTCAAAACATCTCAAACAGCTGATTCGGGGAAATGTATAAAATTCACTCGAACGTGCGTTTAGTCAGCATAACTCACCCCTGACCGCGTATCGACCGCGCGAAAAATGTCGAGTCCGTCTCTCACCGAGTATTCGTATTTTTCCCGGTTACGCGGCGTATTAACATTTATCTTGGCGCGAGCGAAGGCGAAATTAAAGCGGCACTAACGGAGGAAGGGGACGTGACCGAGAGACGTAGCGGGCACATTAGCCATAAATTCGTGGGGTCCCCAGTGTCGAATAGAGCGGGTGTCGCGCCGCCGTGCCAATTGTATAAATTGGCTATGACAAACTTATCGTATCTCGCCGGCGCGCACCGAGCGTTATACGTGCGCGCACGCCGTCCCGGGGAAGGTTTCGTCCGGGCGGATTCCCGTCGGCGGCAACGGCGAGACAGCATTTTTCCCGGCCTCAGGAATTTGCTGTGCAGGTGCGTCTCTGTGGTCCCGCGTGGTCGTTTGAGACATCGTTCCCCGGAGATCTCGCGCGAGAACGTGACGTTCCACCTTTGGTCCGCCGCTCACGTAGCGTTCGCGGGGAGGCGCCGCTGGGGCGGGGGAGAGGGGGAGGTTGGGTTTTGTCGTGCGATTCCTCGCGTACGACATCTTTCCCCGCCGACGCTCGTAAATCCCGCTCCATCGCGGGCGAATGTTATCGCGGATTGCCGGAGAATGGCCCGGGCGATAAGATGGGCTCCTTTGGCGTATCCTCCATACGTCATCGTGCTGATTCCCGCGCGTTCGCAGAAAAATAAGTCGCACACCTCGCTCGTGAACTATTTCATCCGATTAATTGCGTCTTTTCTCGTGGCTGTAGATTTGCGATCTACATCTTCGAAATAATTACGAGAAATATCATATCTATGTACTTCTTTCTTTTATCTTTTATCGTGTGTGTGTGTGTGTGTGTGTGTGTGTGTCGTTGTGTGATCGATTTCCATGCGTTGTGGAAAAATAACCGCGTCTCATGGTAAAATCGCTTCGTTTGAGAAAATCAATTGGCGTGTGATTAACTAACTCCTCTCGTGGTCACAGGTCCTAATTCGCCACTCGCGTAATTTGGAAATAATTATGAAAAATGTTACTTCCGTACGTTTCATCTTTCGTGTGTTATCGCGCGTGTTATCGTGGTCTCTGCGTTATGAAGAAACGCTATTGCGGCTCGAATCGGCGAATTATGTTATGCTTGAGGGAATTAACTAACAAGTAATTAATTTTCCCCGTAATTATGAAAGCCTACGCTCGGAAACATATCGCAAATGATCCCGAAAAAAATTATGTCCGTCCTTGTTTCTTGATGCAGAAGATGCAATTGGACCGGCGGCGATCAGTACGTCGCGCAGTCGTGACGTTCGCGAATCTGTTTCCGCGCGTTACGCGCGCGCGACGGCGTCATGTCGCTGGCGCCGGCGCTGCTCGGCGACCGGAGAATCACGACGATTAATTCCGGGTCTGTCGTCGACAATCGTTTACGTTCGAAAACGATTTACACCGAGCGTTTACCCGCGCTAAGAGCTTAAAGCGCGGCAGGCTGGCAGACCAGCAGGCAGGCAGGCAGGCAGGCAGGCAGGCAGGCAGGGTGAGTTTACATTCAGGGGGCGACGCGTGGGGTTGAAACCGCTCGTTTATCAGTAACCGACTCTAGTGAAAGCGACACCGAGGCACTACGCCGCACGAATAACAATCCCCCAACCTCTTGATGGGCGATGTGAAAAGTATTGCCGACGCGACGTCATCCCGCGCGGACGCCGCCGCCGGACGATTATTTACCCGGCCTGAAGCCTTTTTTTTATTTCCAATTCACTTAGCCTCACCGACGAGGAATTTCCTTGGACCGGAGGAGCCACGAAAAAGCCGAAACGAAAGAGCCACTCCGCGGAATCGCAAACGCGTCGTCCCCCCCTCCCCCTCCCCCTCCCCCCGCCGCCTGAGAAACGTCAATTTTGATTTCCACCGATTTCCGAACGGCACGGTCGGCTTTGAATATTTCAACGAATCGCCGTTCCTCGGCGATGAGAAACCTCCGAAGAAGCGTCGCGCCACGCACGTGCACGTGCTTAATAAATAGAACACGCATGAGACGCAGTGTGGCAGCGCGACGATATAGCGTTCGGGGGTCGAGGGGTACACCTCTCGCGTCCACAGTGTTCCCACAGGAAAATCGCGCCGACGCGCAGCGCGCGATCGCAGCGTCGAGGCGATTCGCGCGCGAACGGGGCGTCGATTAATCGCGCCACATCCCCCGGATTTAGGGTTAATCTCGTGTGACCGATAACC